GCGTTAATGCGTTTCATTTAGTCGTATCCTGCTGAATCACAATCAGGCATTGCTTGTTCCAAACAGCAGTATTTATCAAATGAGTGTGATAAAAAAGGAAGAAATTTCACATCTTAACAGCTCATTGACTGATGTTGAACGTCCTGTAATCGTGCATATGGCCCAAGCAGGTTTTGGAGTTGTGTCACAACTGGGCTAAAATGATGACGCCGAGGGCTTCAGATTGGCTTTACATTGGAAAACTACTTAGAATGATATGATTTCAAACAGTTGATTTCACTAAATCAGTTGGCAAGAAAATAAAACGGAAGATTGTTTATCCGACAGTTGAAGAGATCCTCCGCATCAGCTTTATGGTTAGTAGTGCTTCATTTTGTCAGTTACTCGAGCCAAAACAAACTAGGGCAGAGCAATTCATCAAATTTTGTTTTCAGTTATGGTTTTGGCTTCCAATGATTGTTGTAAATCCAGCCCAGCCCTTTCCTTTACAGTGGTGGGCGTGTGCTCCTCCCTGAAATCTCAAACTCATCTAATTTATTTTGATGTAGTTTATTGCTATTTATTATTTTTTTATATATGTTGAGTAGTTTTCAGTAGTGGAAATACAACACAGTGGATCTTATTTATTTTTATGTTATTTATTTGTATCGTTTTTATATTATTTATTTAAAGTATACTTATATATTATTGATTTAATTTCTTCTCCTTTCTTACATCTGTTTTTACATTCATTTTTTAGGTGGATTATATTTAAAGTTCAAGGAAATCCACTGTTAAGGTTCAATAAATGCATGATGTTTCCAAAGTCGATGAGTAATCATATTAAATAAATAATGATTTTTGCCATAATCGAGCAGCTCTGCAACAAACAGATGTGAGTTTGAAGCTGTTTTTGTAACTAGCTGGTTTAACCAGCAGGCTGTTGCTAACAGCTGTTGCACACAATGATTATTCATGCAACTCACAACATGCAGCTAGGTGCATGAAAGTTTACAGTGTAAAGCTAATCTTTGGTGATAGTTAGAAATTTACTGAACTCTTCTTATCAGCAGTTGTGATCTGTGGGAGAGTTTGACTTGAAAGCTGTTTTGCGCCTTTTGATAATTTCCCTTTTTCTGATTCTTCAGTCTCTCATGCTTAGTGGATCTGATGGGCTGTTCAGTCAGAGATGACCAGTTTCTGTGGTGAATAACTCATAAGATTTATCCTCATACCTTAAAGAGAACGTGTGATATAGTGAAAATGGTGCTAAGTTGATAACTCAAAGCGGATGATTTACAGTCATAAATACTTCATTTTCACACATTTATGACTCAGCAACATTTAACCCTCAGACGTTGCAGTTTTGCTGTCAATAAAGCAAAATCATGCTGTAATTTTATGTGAATCATTTCTGGCTCAACAAGCAGAGCAGTTCTGTTGAAAGTGCAGATTCTAAACTTTCAGTCCAGACCACATTTGTGTTTGTAAATGGAAGTGGAGATTTTTTTTATCATGATCTGAATTTGACAAAAAGTTACTGGTGGTTTTTGTGGAAAGAAAAAACGTCAATTACAATATTTTTGCCACGTCTTTCTCGAACAGGAAAAAAGTCAATAGTGCTCGATCTCTAACTTGTCGACACTGAATGTAACTTAAAACGATGATCATTATCTGTTAGATACAGCACAGCATGTGGCAAGATGCACGTAAATTAGATTCTGGGAACTTAACTGTTGCTCATATTAGCCTTACTGCTGTTAACTGAATTGCAGAACGCAGGAAACGGATTGTTAATTTCATTGTTTCTGATCATGACAATTAGCACCTGTTAATGTTGTCCTTACTATCATCCACAGTGTGCTGAGGTCGTTCGATACTGTGCGCATTTTATCATGGAAAGGAATGTTTTATTCAGTAGTTTTTCAGTTATTAAAACTGAAAAAAGTGAAACATGACATATATTGTCCGTGTATCATGTGTTGCCTACACTCTGAAAAACATAAGGTTCTTTAGAGGATCTTCAGTAAAGACAAGGGTCCTATATAGAACCATGAACACTCAAAGAACCATTGCATAAATGGTTCTTTGCATGGTCAAATGGTTGTTCCCTATGATGGAAGCAAGTTGTATATGCTTCTTTAAAGAACGCTTTCAGATTCGTTCTACATAGCACCAAAAATGGATTCCACTATTGGTACAAAGTCAAAGAATCCTTTTTCCATACTGTTTAGAATTTTTTTGCTAAGAGCATAAGATATGCATTTGGAATAGAAATTAAATTTATATACTTTATAAACTATATATGCCTGTATAATTGTAGTAAGTTATATATAATGTATAATTTATGTATTTATATACAATTATACTGAAAATTATATCTCAATGAGTTTGCAGTAAGAATATTATGAAATGAATCAAACTATTTTTAGACATTTTTGCATTTTTGCACATAATTGCATCTACTGAAATTATTTTTATTTCAGCGCCAGATAATTTAATTTCTTTATAGAAATACTGTTTAATACAGTCATAATTATCTGCCAAGTAATTTTGTAGTAGGTAACAAATGTCTGAAAAATAGACTCAGTATTTTTTTAATATTCCAACATCAGTCTTGTAATATAAAATATAAGATATATTGGCAAGATTTAAAAGGCTTTTAAATTCGTTTCCTGCATAATTAAATGGGTAAGATGTGAACAGTCATTAAGGGTGGTTTGGTGTGAAATACTTCAGTCGAGAGAAACGTGGTATTAGAATTGTTCACAGCAGTGGTGATGGGAACCAGATGTCTGAACCAGATTCCTGTCTAAGACACTGTTTTGTGACAGTTTTGAGATACGATTTTGGACTAAAACTTGTTTGTTTTTAATCCATTCTGGCGTACGCTTGCATACAGGGCGTTGTGCGGTTAAATAATACCAGATGAAAATGTGATTTATGCACTATTTTACCATCATCAGTGTTACAAACAAAAAATCAGAAGACACATGTAGCTTCTCTGGTGGTTTTGGACGGTAAATAAGATGACTATGTATGTTTTGTAGATGTGATCTGGAAAAGGTTTTTTTTTTATACTAACCATTTCATATCAAACCACTCTGAATTACTTTATTTAAACCTCAACCATATAAATATGAAGACATTCTGAAACATCTGTGTAATTTCCCTTTAAGATGATTTCACATGCACAGATGTAGTTTTGCGCAGTGTTAAATACAAACCTATACAGATCTCTCAGTCTAGCCAGTTGAAGCCTTAACAAGAAATGACATCAGCACAATTGTATTGTCTTTTGCTGCTTTGATCCAGGGCCAGTTTGTCTCTCTCTCTCTTTTCTAAGCTGTTAACGGCCTCTTTTGATGCCAGAGTGGCTAATTTATGTGCTAAGTGAACCTGAATTCCCCTCAGATACAGCTGAAGGAGGATATGGAGGAGTCAGGTGGGGTTAACAGGCTTTTCTGTTTCTCCTTTATGGTGTCAGCTGGAGACACTTTACAATAAGGGTGTAATGATTTTAATACTGTATTGAAAAATGGTAAAATGTAAAACTTTATGTAGATGTAGAAGTGAAGAGCCAATACACCTTTTGCTTTCTTCCGAGCGTCTTTCTTTTACAGTCTTTCATGGAAAACGCACAGTGATCAAAACTAGACTGTTAAGTGCAGCCTATCAGAGCATAGGGGGCGGTGCTTATGATACAGACACACCCACACTGAAATGACTGGGCTTTTTTTTTTTTTCCAAAGTCACTATAAAGCATTTTAGCGGCAATATGACATTATGACAGGTTTCTTTGTATAGCAGCACTGAAGATCCGAAATGCCAGAAATGCTAACTTTAGCCGTGTCTTAGCATGAACCTCTAAACATTTTTTTCAACACTGACTACAAATAAGCACATGAAAGAACGACTATATGATATGCAGTATAAGTTGGGAGACCGTGTCAGATGGTATAGATCTGTGCTTTTGTGTTTTTGCTGTTTTTGGTAGTTGAATTAGCCAGCCGCTAACTGCTAGGTTAGCTGCTTGGCTAAGCACTGCTGCACATGCCACGGCCATTATCTAAACCCCTTTGTTGAGTATGATTCATGCTCACTTTTGTTTTTGTCACTTTTGCTGTTTATGTTTGCTGTGCCAAGTTAGCTTGCAAACTGCGTCAAAATGGATCTTTTTCACCTAATTGTATCAAATTTTTCAGGATTTCTACATAATGAGATGTGAACACAGTCATTCAGAGTTGTTTGATGTGAAATGTTCCATTCTAGAGAAACTTAATGAGTCAGAATTCAAGTGTTTTATGCCTCTTTAAGCTCCCTCACGGGAAATTGTTACACAAAGTGGTTAGGAATGTGCTGCCTGATGCCTGAGGCATTGTTTTATGATAGACTTGCAATGAGATTTTGGGCCAAGAATTTTAAACACACTCATGGCGGAGAGGTACATGTGGGGTGTTAAGGCAAATTTGTTGTTTTTTTATTATTTTTTTTTTTCAGATTTACAACTAGGTTACCACTCTATTTGACCGTTTACATTTAAGTGATTAAATTATGCTGAAATTTTGAAAAATCCCCTTCAAGTCTCATGTATGTCTATTTTGACTGTGGCTTAAAGATGGTTTAGCTGAGATCATGCTGTGGTTTGATTCTCTATTGTGGTTTGATTCTCTGTAGTGTGCTGAGACTGAGATGTCATGGTTTTGTGTTGGTTTAAAGGCTACAGTTTGATATAACCATATTTTTGAATGATGCGTTAATTACATTTGTTGTTAATTACACAGACGTTAATTGCTTCAGAATGGATAGCAAAGCCTTTTTATGCCTAATGGCTGTAAAAAAAAAAAAATGCTGCTACAGCACAAATTCCACAAGCAACTTTCCTTGCATCTCTTATTTTTACCTTTAGGTTTTGCATAGAATTTAAAATGAATTTTCATGACTTCTAGTCAGAAACGGGTTAATGGATTACAGCGTCCTGGGATAGAATTGACATTTTTGTGTTTTCTACTCTTTTGCAGCTGAGAGACGAAGCGAGAAACACAAGAAGAGAACCATTTGATGGAAGAAAAGAAAAAGAAAAAGCAAGAAGAAAAGAAAAAGAAAGAAGCTGCTCAGAAAAAGGTAAGCACTGTATTACTTTGACCTTTCCAGTATATTAAAATGATCCACCTCCTACATTAATCAGTCCTTTACAATGTTTTGTTTTATTTATTTATATGTTTGGCCAACATAACAGAGGTAAACATGAAGATACAACATATGTAGTGTATAAACTACCCTTCAAAAGTTTTGGAATCTCTGCTTTCATTAATATGAAACAGATTTTGTTGCAGATAAACGTATAAAATAGGTTTCAACTAATTTGTATTTGTACTAAACATAAAAAATGAAGAAATGTTAGATGTCCAGAATGATGAACAGAGATGTAGATGATTCTAAAATCACTGAGAAAGCTGTAGAACATCAAGAATAAAGTTCTAATAAAGTTAATATCAATAATGCCTTGTATTTGAAAAGTGGTGATTAAATCTTGTCAAGGATTTACGTTAAATAAATAATTGTATTACATTAATTATTGTTTAATAGCATCTGGGCTTTACAAAAAACTATTGAATAAAACATCTTAAAAATATATTCTGGTCTCTAGCTTATAGTATTTCAGTCTGCACTGTATAATTTATTTTGGAACAAAAATAATGGCAATTATTGATGAAAATTGAACAGCAGTGTACAGGCATTGTTTTTCTACTACTTTCTGAAATTTTGGAAGTGTCCGAAAATGACTAATAATGTCACCAAAAGAACAGGCTTTTGCAGTTGAACACTACATAAATTGACATGCTGGGCTTGAGAGCTTGTCAGGCATAGCAGCAGAAACCAAGAGGGGGTGGGGCTTAGTGAAGGCTAAAATAAGTGAATAGACAACTTGATTCACCAAAATATACATTAAAATTAGGGCTGCACGATAAATCTGATTATCATTACTGTACCGTGCCGTTTTGTTTTGGTGATGACTCGTGAGACAGATTACGGTTTCTTTCTTTTATCTGCTGTGCTGCTAAATCAGAACCAGGAAACTACACAGAAAAGTGGCTCAGCAATGGCTAACAGGCTAAATGCTACAGAACATGTTCAGTTCTGGCTGTCACTCCAACACCAGTCACTCGATGTGCCTTCATCTTCTAAATGGGTGTTATTTGAGCGTCAGGTAGCTGGAACCGAGCCTGTACTGGGTGATGGGTGGCACAATATTGACGTAAACTGTCAAGCATGTAGTTGGTTTCAGCGTTGTTTTGCTGCGTCTCATGGCAACGCTGCTTGCTTATTTCCAGTACCGCCGTCTGTTTTCACACATGCGCAGACTGAGAAATCCGAAAGAAATCTATCAATTTACATGCACTGTTTACTGAGCTAACATGTAGCTCTCTTTATCAGATTTCTTAATCGGGTTTCTAGACCTTACTCCGATCTAAGAAATCAGAGTGTGCTGTTTACATGACCATTTGAATAATCAGATAACCACAGATTATGATCAGATTAATGCATGTAAATGCACTCAGTGAAAAGTTATGTCATTGTGTCATTGCAAAGGACCTGCACACAGTTATCTGGCAGCAAAAACCACGCTAGGCGGGATTTGTAAGCAGTATGTGTCAAAGCTTTATGCGTCTTGTTCAGCCTAAAAGTGCACAAAAATGTGCTTGCACTTCTCATGAGTTTCACTGTTATTATTTTGCACAAGAATATATGGGGCTAATGTAACACTGTATTTTTTGCTATTTATGTGTAGATAATTTCTGTTTGCACAGTAAGGCACATCCAGTGAAAGACGCTATTTTAAAAATAATTAAGTGCTTCTTGTGGTGTCATTGTGATGTGCAACAGCTTTATTGGACATCGCATTTTATGGCCATATCGTGCAGCCCTTCTTTCCACTATATAATCTGGGAAAATGAAATGATTCGTCAGTGCTACTTGATGGACAAAATAGCTTGACATTGAAAAGGTATTTGACTTGTATAGCTTTAATAGCTTTAATAGCTATAGCTTGAATAGTTTTAAGACTTGACACTGCTGCCCAACAGTGGTTCCTCTGTTTCTCTTTTTCTGTGTGTTCTTTACCTGAACGTTAGATGATTTTGTGTTGTGTTGAATGGTTCCAAATAGACTGAAGTGATTAATAGTGATTTGCGATTAGTGCTCAACCTCCTAATCTGCTTCTAATCTTTCTTCTCAGGCTGCTGAACAGAAAACCAAAGGTGAGTTGTGGCTCTCATGTCTAAACTCTTCCTCTGAATTGTACTTAGGTTCATTGTAAATGCAGTTAATAGAGAGAAACAGGACTAGTGTCTTTTCTTCTTCCCGAAGGTCAGCCGTATTATGACCCCACTGCTGCCGAAGACTGTGATTTATTAAGTCAGCCTTGTCTGCATCAGCCTATGGTTCATATACTTTCATTTGTACGGCTAGCCTTTAGACTGGCTTATCAGCTTACATAGCTACCTTTCTTAGTCAGTAACCACTGTGTGTAATGGGATTAGACAATGTCTGGAGTTTCCAGTTTCGTCATCGCCATAGACATTGCAAGCAGATGGTTTCATCAGTAAACAAATAGACATTGCCAAAGACCTGTGGCATGTGATCTGGAACATTTGTTGTGGAACGGTATAAAGTGACGAGTCAGTGGCCTTTGAACATCACCATGTAAGAATTTGGCCAGAAATGTGCTTCATGCAAGAATGCAAACACTTGAAGCTTCTCAAACATGGTATTAAGTGCCATTCGCATGCTGCGCCACGATGCAAGCACAAGCTGCATTCTGAGCGTTGAAGCAAGGGGGTGCTATAGCAACAACCGAGCCTGGCCAAGCTGTCTAATACCACCAGCCTGTTTTCCTATGGTCAGCACTTTTCACGGTACATCAGTTATTATATTTCCTACAACACAACGCAAGTGCTTTACCATAAGTGTTTAAGTACTTGATTGTGAAGCTGGGGACAGTGTGGCTGTAGCTAGGCTAACTAATCTCACTGACAACGTCAAAAGTAAGCAAGCTAGTTTCTAAAACAGGGGGTGTTACAGGACCATTTGAAGTATATTACATTGTACTGCACTGTTTACGACTATAGAGTTTGTTTTAAATGAAACAGTAGAAGCCATATTGCCCCCTACACTTCCTGTAGTGTATGACAGTCTGTCAGAATGACTGTGTGAATCATATGAAAATTACAGACAACAAATTAACAGACAGTAATTTCATAATTGCCTAAAGGCATTAATTTGAGGATTATCGCGATGTGAATTAGATTCGTTAAGAAATGTAAATACAAGCACTTAATGCATTCATTGAGACACATCATGGGACTCATTAAAACAAAACCTCTAACTTGCGTCATTCTGTCGAGACATTTATATATTTTACCCAGAGTGATGTTGAGCTTGAGGGCCGAGCGAGGGCCGGGCGAGGGCTCTCAGTGGCCAGATGGGCGTGGAGTGTGTGAGAGGTGATGCTGATTAATCTTGTTAGAGCATCTGTTAATGCTGGAACTCTCTGACATCAGCCTTCACACACACGGGCCTGTGTTTGAGTGTCAACGATGTTAGCATGCGTGTCTCTTACACACTCCTGCGGACTCGACTGGACCTCTGTTGCTTCACACACTCTTTTAATTGTATCTGTGTAGATCTCTCTCTGTCTCTCTCTGCCTGTCTGTCTGTCTTTCATGCTTTATTCGTAGTGTATCTGTAGTTTATCTGCAGTGTATTTGTAGTTAATCTGTAGTTAATCTGTCGATAGTCTGTAGTTTATTCGTAGTTTATCTGTAGTAAATGGTGTAGCTGATATGCGAGCTCATGTAGTAGTGGGAGCAGTGTGCTTTGCAGGAGAGCAGGGTGCATGTGGAAGCAGCACTGTGTGACAGAAAGCCGCAGTGTAGAACAGAGTAAGACTATCCATCACACACACACACACCCTGTCAGGATCTCAGTAGGGAGCACTAAGCAGGAGTGTGTGTTAATAAAAGGAAGAAAAGATGGAAAGAGACAGTAGGAGCTTTATTTTTTGTACTTTGTTTTGTTTCTGGGATTCAGAGTTTTACATGTTTACTTCCAGTTATATAAAAATATACAGATAAAATTTACAGATAAAATATACTGATAAAACTTAAAATGCATACTGTTCTAAAATGAAGAACAGTACCGTTATAGTGCCTATATTGTAAATTTGCTTGCCAAATAGTTGTAATTCAGTGTTATACGGCCATTTCCAGCCTCTCTTTATCCCTTAGATTTAAATAGGCTGTTTTTGTTACTGTGCCTTTAAAGGCCACCGCATGCCAGACGTGTCGCATGTCAGCATAGCGTCACGTATCAGAGCACTGCTATAGAATGCCTGCAGGGAGAGGCGATAAAAGCTAGGTTCTAGTTCATTTTTATACTTGTATAAATTGAATGAAATAAAGCTTTTAGCATCACTTATCATGCTTGCCATCAGTTTACTACCTCTTCACAAACTGGCTGTTTTTGAGCTGAAAGATATGAGCTTTCACTCATGAACTCATTCAGTATAGTAAAGTGAATAGTATAGTGGTTGCTACAAAGTGAACTGACTAAAGATAGGAGATTGAACGACTGAGAGAAGTTAAGAATTGTAATGGCACCTCAACATGGCTTACAATCTATATAATGCACTCTCAGGGAGTGATTTCGAACGCACTGCAGAATAATAATATTGGCTGAGGTACCTTACTATTAACATGTCTGTCTAGGCCAGGGGTCGGCAACATGCGGCTCTTTTACTGCCGTGTTGCGGCTCCGCAGAATTAGATATTTAGGTAAAAATAAAAGAATCCTCCTTTGCAGTAAAATAAAGCTCTGCTGATCATTCAACACAGTTTTAACAACAAATGCTCTCAAATGCTGGAGTTAATGTAGCCTATAGCTGTTGATTCACCCTTTAACCCTGAAGGTTGGGGCACAGACTGTTGGTCCCCATAGCAACTCAAACAAATATCTCGCCTAGCTAGTAGCTAATGAAAAGGCAAAGAGAGGTTTAAGACGAACATTGATCATTTGGAGACGAATGGACTTATTTGCATTTCTTTTACCAATTTTCCTGTTCCACGAAATGAGAAACTGACTTTGGCCTTGTGAAAAGTCTAACGTTGAGAGACATTTTACGAGAAACTGTTCTACTTTTGGGGGAAAGTTTCCTGCCGGAGATGCGAGAAAAGCAGCTATAGCTGAGCTAAAGCTTAAAGCAGAGCAAAGTGACTACACTAGCACATTAGCACATACTGAGACTTATTTACAGCCAAGACAGTAAAACGGACATAAAATGTTGTGGCTCCCAAGGGGGTTTGATTTTTGTTGAAAGGACAAAATGGCTCTTCTTAACATTTGGGTTGCGACCCCTGGTCTAGGCAGAAAGGTTGGCTGCCTTTTTCTGTGTAAATTTCAAGCCACGTGATCTACTGTGGCTTTCTGTGGCCTCAATTTGGCTTTAATTTAAAGTAGTAATTACAAAATGCTGTGTGGTACGCTGTGACGTACTAAGAAATCAAACAGCGCTCAAAGTCATGGAGCACTGGTGTGTGACAATGTGGACTGTTGGCGACGGTGTGCGTACTTCCATAAAAAGCATCGGTTTTAAATTTTTGGACGCTGTGCAATGAGACGCGGCACATCCAGTGTGTGGGGGCCTTAAGACTGTGAACTGTGTATGTGAGCTCTGTACTGTACCTCATTCAAAAGCTTTCCAGGCTTAAACACTCCTTTATAACTTCAGTGTAAATGGAGATATTTAAGGGATATTTAAATATGTTGGATTTGTGACATCACAAAAAAAACCCACTGAATTCGTAATGGGCTGGTTTTGCAGCTTATTTTCCATATGTGTGGGCTAAGGATTTAAACTTTAACAGTGTTTACATATCACACTAAATCTCTCTTTTTCTTTTTTCTTTTTTAATGGAAAATTCAGTTTTCCATGATATGGGCCCTTTACCTGAAACTGTAAACCAAATTCCAAAAAATTCCCTGCAGTTTTGTTTATACAGATTCCGTAGTGAACTGTTCAGGTTGTATATGACATGAAGCTGTTGCTATTGACTATATTAGTAATGGAGTAATCTACTGATTACTTTGGCGATTTATCAAGTAATTCATTCAGTTAATTAATGAATTAATTACGTTTTCATTAATGGCCAAACACTTTTATTTTTAATATGTTATTTTTGTCTGTGTTTTTTTTAATGTGCAATTCAATGACTCTCGTGCGTGTGGGCAGAGAGAGCGGGATGGAGGGAGGGAGTGAATGTAAGAGTGAGAACACACTGGGGTTTCCTGTCTGCACTGTTTACCTTCACAGGTTTTAGCAGCAGTGCTGCTCATGGGGCACCTGCTTATATTCACACTCTGTCTCTCTCTAACTTCTTTACTTCCTCATTCTTCTTTCTTATTTGCTTTCTCTTTCTTTTTTAAGTTTCATTTTTGCAAGTCGAAAGTTAAAACTGCACTGTGTAGGTTTTGGGGATTTGGAGACCTCTCTGGAGGAAATGTGTAATTGCACACGACATGTGGAAAAACATTTTGTAACGTGGGTTGTGCTTCGGACCTCTTCCCCAAGTGGATGAATCTGGTAATTCTGAGTTTATTGAAAGTCAAAACTTGCTGAACGATCCAAGGATGTGAGTGGATGATCTACTGTTGCCATCATATCTTCAATGGCACAGAGCTGATTTTGCATTTTAGAGCTAAACATTGAGCCAGACCTTCTTTTTGAGTCTGTGCATGTGATGTTAGTACGTAAAGATGAATGAGGTGGAGTGAAAATCTCCCGCCAAATCCTGATCTGTCTTTTACTCCAGCAGCAAGCACACAGCATATTTTAACCAGTTTTTTCTTCTGTCTCAGTAATGCTGCTTCTTTCAGTCTTAATAAACAAATCTTACACAGTGCAGCTATGACAAAAGCTGTGCTGAAGCTGAGATTGTGAGAGTTTTATTGCTCCATCCATATCGTAAACGACTACTACTTTTTTTTGATGAAGGATTTACTAATATTAAAGCACATTTGATGCAATACTTTGAACTACTTTGCTTTACTTTTTCTTTATTTTGTTGTATAAAAGCAGTAGAGCATGAGGTCTTGTGTTATCGCAAGTAACATTCTTAAGTTCACGTTACCCCCATCGTTATTAAAACTAGAATAGACTTTGCAATGAAACAATAGAAGCCATATCTCCCCCTACCCTTCCTGT